GGGAGATTGCAAGTTTGAGGCCCTTAGCTACTTAATGAGACCCTGTCTCAGAATAAAAAATTTAAAAAAGTTGGGGGGGACTGGAGCTATAATTCAGGGGTGCCCCTAGGTTCAACCCCCAGGACCAAAATAAATAAACATTTAGAAAACTGTTTTCATGAAATGGACTATACAGCAGTAAAACTAATGAACAAGAGCTATGTGTATCAACATGGATAAATCTTAGAAATATATTTTGTGTGAAAGAGTAACAGAAAAATGTATAATACTGCTTATGTGAAGTTTAATTACACAAAACAATACTAAAGGGGCTGGACTTGTGGCTCAGTGGTAGAGCGCTTGCCTAGCATGTATGAGGCACTGGGTTCAATCGCCAGCACCACATAAAAATAAAATAAAGGTATTGTGTCCATCTACAACTGAAAAAAAAAATAAAAACAAAACCCAAAAAACAATACTATATATTTTTTGTGGCTACATACATGCATGGTTATGTCTGTGAGGGAGGGAGGTTGTGGCAATTGGGACTCAACAACACAGGGATCTATAATACTCATCTCTACAGTAGGGTGATGAGTACAGCAGAATTTGCTACTTTCTGCTTTGTTAATAATATTATACTTTTTAAAGTTTAACATTAGACATGTCCGGCTGACAGGACTGAGGAAAGGAATTCTCTGTTTATTATTTGTAAATCATATATTCTTCTATTTTTTAAGTTAATTTTAAAAATTCCCTTGTATGAATGTCTCATTAAGTTGCCCAGGTTGGCCTGAAACTTGAGATTCTCCTGATTCAGCCTCCCTAGTCATGGAGATTATAGGCATGTACCACCAAGCTCAGCTAAATGACCACTCCAAACTTCCACTGCTCCAAACTACTAAGAGATTTGAACCATCAATTTTCTGATCTGAAGTCTGTTGCCTTATCCATAAGCCACATGGTTCCACATCATCACTACTCTTTAAAAACCCACAAAACCATGAGCTAATATGACCCATTATCAATACCATTCTCTCTCCAACATCGGTTTACTCTTCTGTGTTTTTCGCATCACTTACATTCTTCTCCTCCTCCAGTCTTTGATTCTTCGTCTTTTCTTAAGCATTCACATCCAATAAGTCCCAAGGCCGCTGGACTCTACCTTGGGATACTATTTATAACCACTTCTAATGAAACCCCATCGCTGCTCACCTGAATCTATGTAGTCTGCCTCTGGAACTTCCCCTCCACCAACTCAATGTCACATAGATTCCTCTGATTACCTCTAATGACAAAAATTAATTTGATTTACTGAAGACTGACATCTGGTAACAGTTCTCCTTGTTACTCCAAGTCCTGCATTTTCCTAGGCAACTTCAGTCAATATCCACTCCTTGGGGACATCTGAAGCCCTGCCTTCAGATGATATACCAATAATCCAAGCGGTTTTCTACTTCCATGGCTGCTAGCCTGATCCATGCTATCATTACCTCTCAATGGAGGAATGCAATGGATCTCTGTCCTAGCATCCTTGCTGACTTCACTCTGCTCTCACCACAGTAGCCAGAGTAGGCCTTTCAACACTTGGGTCAGAGTTAACCACTCTTCTGTTCAGGACCTTTCTATCTTACCAGATATCATCTGGTAAGATTCACCCCTTTGTTCTTAGCATCCAGTAACTTGGGATTCTTGGATGTTCCATGAACACACCAAGCCCACTTCCACCTTAGGCTATTGCTGTATGGATTCCCTTACCTGGAATGTTTTTCTCCTGATCACACATGACTCTCTCCCTCACCTCCTATGTGTCTACCATTGGCTCCAATCTCATCCCCTCAGTGAGACCTACCTAACAAGTTACCATTTTTTCTTCCTCTTCTGCAACAATTCCAATATCCTTTATTCTGCTCTTCTATTGCACCAGCCACAATCTAACACATTATAGGCATTTATTTAACTAGTTGATCATTTGGCTACTTTTTAGTCTGTTCATCTTACCTCATGAGAATTGAAATTCAATAAAGGCACAACTATTTTTTGTTTTGTTTCCTTCCTATTATCTTAAGAGCCTAGAATAGTGCTAGACATAAAGTAGGATGTTCTACTATTTGTGAAGGGAAATGATGTACATTCATGCAGCCCAGAGATCTCTAGGTTTCATGAGAATCTTATCAATAGTGACATATTCCTCCACTCCAGTTTTACTTCCACCATCAAGGCCACACACCAAGGATATGTCAACATCTGAAAATGTGCAATTATTAGATCAGTTATTCAGAAAATCCCCAAAACTCTCCGTCCACAAAGCATCTTCTTACTCATTTGTTCAATTACCCGCAGGACACCTGTTCCTTGCTTTTACTAGGGATCCATGCAAACTGATCTTGTCCTTGCTCCTTAACCATTAGTTCTTTATTTAGTGCTTTATTTCTCCCTCAATCTAGCTTTGATCCCATGCTTTTTAATACCCCCATTAAATTCTCAGACTGGCCCACCATAGTCCTTTCATCAGGCACCCAGTAAATCCTTCAACCTAAATGAATTGAATTTTCCACTTAAAAGCTTCGTAGTGTTGCTAAGGCAAAATCTTGATAAAAATAGGACATAGTGATATCACTGTTTAAAGTCAACAACTTCAAACAAACTCTCAAATTTCTTAAAATTCTACTACAGGCTGAGTATCAATTATGCCTGGGATCAGAAATGTTCCAGATTTTTAGGTTTTCTGAATTTTGGAATATCTGCAGACTTTGTAGCCTGAAGTATCTACAATCCCAAAATCTGCAATCTAAAATGTCCTGAAATGCTCAAAAAGTTTTGAATTTTGGATTTTGAATTTTTGGATTAGGGATACTCAATCCATATTGTACTCTAGTGCCAACTGGTTTTCACATCATCTCCAACAACTATTTCAAATTTTCACTCCTTTTAAAATCTGACCATGATAGGACACAGTGCAGTATGCCTGCAACCCCAGCTGTTTAGGAAGCTAAGACAGGAGGACTGCAAATTCCAGGTGAGCCTCAGCAACTTAGAACCTATGTTAAAATAAAAAAGGCAGGGTCTGTTACTCAGTGGTGAAGCATCCCTGGGTTCACTTTCTAGTACCCCTGCACCAACCCTGCCACATACAAGCCATTTCACACATGAATAAATTTAATATAAACTACTTTAATTCAATTTAATTTGTAGACATCTTTCTTCCTTCTTCCTTCCTCTATTACTCCCTTGACCTAATCCATTGTAAGAACAATCTTTTCCTGTCTACTCTCAATCTTGGAGCTCTCATGCTTTTTCAGAAGCCTTACTCTGTTATCCCCTGTGTCTACTGGATCTTTTTAATATTTCTCACAGGAGTGAAGGCTGACTCCAGGCTGGGGATATAGCTCAGCTGGTAGAGTTGGTTAGTTAGTCTCTCCCCCACTGCCCCACTTCACAAGAACTCACTGATGTTCCTAATTTCACATTATCTTTGGGCAGTCTATTCTCAACACAGATGCCCATGATCCTTTTAAAGCAGAAATAGGTTGTATTAGTCCTCTGTGCCAACCTTCCAAAACTTTCCCGTCTCATACACAATTCTCAAGTCCTCCTCATGATCCCAAGCTCGTGACCGCCCCGCTTCCTGACCTCATTACTTCCTCTACTAACCACCAGTTCTAGCTCTTCCTCACATGTTAAACAAGCCCCTGAGCCTGTATTACTTTACTTGCTGTACCCTCCATGTGAATGTTCTTTAGGTAAGCAACCCATTCCCCTACCACCTTCAGACTACTACTCAAACACTTATCCAAAGAAAAGCCATCTCTGTCCACTCCACTTAAATAGTACCTCTTCCCTGGTATCTGAACCTTCTCTCAAACCCTCACCTCATCCTGTGTCTTTATAGCACTTAAAACCATTTAACACATGCTTTATTTGTGGTCTCTTGCTGTTTTTTGTTTCTGCAGTACTGGGGATTGAACCCAGAGTTTGGCGCATGCTAGGCAAGTGCTCTGCCATTGAGGTATATCCCCACATCCTCACTTTTTAAATTTTTATTTATTTTGTAGTACTGGGAATTGAACGCAGGGGCACTCTACCACTAAGTTACATCACCAGTCCTTTTAATTTTTTGAGATAGTCTTGCTTGATTTTTGAGGGTGGCCTCAAACTTATGATTCTCCTGCCTCATTTGCTAAGATTACAGGCATGTGCCACCACACACAACTTCCAACTCTTTTTTGGGGAAAGGGGGGCGGTCCCACTCTCTCTTTTCCCCCTTAAAGAAATTTATTTTTTTTTTTTATTTATTGTGTTGTTGGGGATTGAACCCATGGCCTTGCACACGTGAGAGAAGTACTCTACCAACTGAGCTATATTCCCAGCCCAGAGTCCCACTCTTTTAAAAGTAAACTCCACAAGAGTAGGGACTGTTGTTTTATTCATTGTTATTTCCTCAGTGCCTAAAATAAAGCTAGGTGTACTGTAAGCTAAATGTACTATGTAAAAGCAGAACAAAAAGATTCTGACTTGAGCAGCTAAATAGATACCATGTACCATGATGGAGACAACTGCAGACAGGTATCAGGAGTAGCTATGTTAAGTTTAATATGCCCATGAGATATTTCTGAAGTGCCTCTACTCTCTAGGTGCATGCATCCACTCCCTTGGTTTTACTATAATCTATAAGGCATTGATTCCCAAAACTGCATCTGCAACCTACACTTTTTTTCTCAACTAGAGTTCACAGTTAATTGCCAACATGGTATCTCCCTATGGATGTCTTACAGGAATACCTCAAACTCAGCATGTCTAAACCAAAACTGAAATTCACTTTTTGTGTGTGTGTGTGTGTGTGTGTGTGTGTGTGGTGCTAGGGATTTAACCCAAGGCTTTGTGCATGTTAGGCAAGCACTGTACCAACTGAGCTATATCCCCAGCCCTGAAATCCACTCTTAAAACACAAATCATTTCTCCTCTAGTGTGAAATGGCACTATTTATCCACTGGCTTACTCAAGCTAGAAACCCAACTCTCTCTTCCAGACATTGCTCACCAAAGCATACAGATATGACCACTTCAAGGATGTTTTACTTCTTCTCTTACAACTTCTGCCAGTTCCCTTCTCTAATCTGTCTTCATCTCTTTTCTGGTTACCCAAGATAGCCTCTCAATAACTTACTTCTCCTTGTTTATGCTCACTCTGCTGTAATATAGTAGTCACTTATTGGTGACCCAAAACACTTATTCAATACATGTTCAGCCATTTTCTTTCTTTCTTTCTTGTTATTTTTATTTTTTTCCAAAGTTTGAACTGATCCTAAGGGTGCTTTACCACTGACCTATAGCTACATGCCCTTTTAAGATTTTGAGACAAGAGTCTCAATAAGTTGCCCAGACTTCCCTCAAATCTGTGATCCTCTTGCCTCAGACTTCCCAGTTGCTGGGATTACAGGTGTGTAGCACCATTCCTGGTTAGATTTCATTTTTAATATTGCCCAGTTTAGACTTAGAGCATCTAAATTCAAAACACATGAAAGCAACCAAAACACAATAATAACACAGGAAAAACTATCCAGTTTTACATACCTGCTTTAATTTTTTTTCAAGTTATATCTCACATTTCAGTTTAATAAATCATAAAAGTATCGCCAGAAGACACAGCTGTCTTCTAAAAATATCATACCTGAATGACAGCACTGAACCAGCATGTATTGCCAACATTTTTCAGCCCAACTGGCCAACCATCAGCTCTCCTCCAGTCATTGGGATTGGGGTTTTCTCCCCAGACTTCACAGCGTTTTCTCTTTGAGCGTTTAATTTCTGCAGAGATTGCCTCATGCATCCTATATTGTGTCAACATACCACACATCAAAAAAGAAAATACTTAAAGAATAATAGAGTATATGGAGGATGCTGGTGACCTTTCATAAATCATTCAAAATGCCCGAAAAATTAATTATTGGATAATTATCAGCTATATAGTATCTATGGGAACTACAAAATGTAGGCGAAAAGCAAGAATTAAACAAAAACTTCAATCCTTCCATCACAGGGACTATGACTAATAAGGTCCATATGGTTACTATATTAAAAGTTTTCCATTTTAATCACAGCACCCTAAGTGCTTGCCATTGAAAGAGGAAAGAGAGAAGTGTGGTATAGCTAAGAGCCACCAAACTGCCCAGCACACAACACCCTGCGGTATGTTTCTCTGAAAGAAACAACTCAGCAGTGCAAGAAAGTAAGCATGTTCAGAAATGACAGTCCACCACTGGAAAAGGATGTCTGTAAACGGCACCAAGCAATCATCAAATTAATACCAATTCACACAATATATACCCTAGTCACTTCTGAAGCAGGATGGTTGACTACTAAATTTCATTTATTTCTTCTCTTTCTTTCTTTCTTTTTTTTTTTTTTTTGTTTGAGACAGGGTCTTACTAAATTGCTGAGGTTGCCTCGAATTTGTGATTCTTCTGCTTCAACCTCCTAAGCAGCTAGGATTACAGGTGTGCACTACGACATACAGCTGATAACTTTCAACTGGAGTATAAAAACCCTCCTCACATTTGGTTTTAAATGTAAACCAAACGGTAAAGCACGCTAATGTGCACTGCTTCTCCTAAAAGCATTTTTTTTTTAATATTTATTTTTATTTTTTGGCGGACACAACATCTTTGTTTGTATGTGGTGCTGAGGATCGAACCCGGGCCGCACGCATGCCAGGCAAGTGCGCTACCGCTTGAGCCACATCCCCAGCCCCTCCTAAAAGCAATTTGACTCAAGTGCCATTAAAGGAATTTGGTGGAATTATTCCTGAGTGGCATGCACAGAGCTGTTCGCCTCTGACCTACACATAAATGTGGGGAGCATAGAATATAAATTAAAGCAATAACCTGTTAAGCTCTCTTTCATCTGCTTGAATTTTCGGGGACTCCAGCAGACTCAAAGCAATGGCAGCCTGAAGATCATCTTTGTTATCATGAGTAAGGTCTATCACTTCTATAAAATAAATAGAAATTTAATTAGTCCACACCTCGAAGAAAACTGCCCTTCTGTCTGCAGTATTAAAAAAAAAAAAAAAGTAAAAACACTTCCCAAACAGATATACTCTCTAGCTGTCCCTATAATGGCTCATCTGTGTAAGAACAATTTCATTACTCTGTCCAGAGTCAAATGAATAACTTAAATGCTACACTGTAACCTTATACTAGACAACAGTACAGAAATAAGCTATTAAAATGTAGGAATCACATACCCTCTTCTAAAGTGTCTTTCCACACAGTGAGAAATAAATCCCACACCTGTAAGTTAAATACATAGTCTCTATTTATCATCATAAAAAATTCACTAAATATAAAACATTCAAGGAACAGATTTTCAATGTCACACTATTTCAATTCATACTAACTATTCAGAATGGAAAACATATTCAACTCATTTTAGGAAGTTAGCATAATAGTATACACATAAAAACCTGTCAACAACAGTAAGAAAAAAATTACAAACTCATAAATGACCACAGAGACAAAAAAATCAAAATATTAGAAACAGCATTCAATAATTCGATTATCACTCCTTTTTCATGGTATCAGGGATTGAATCCAGTATACTTTACCACTGAGCTACATCCTGAGCCCTTTTCATTTTTTAATTTGAGATAGTGTCTTGTTAAGTTATTTAGGGCCTCACTAAGTTGCTGAGGCTGGCCTTAAACTTGTAATCCTGGAAGTATGGGGGTGCACCCAAGCATGCCCATCTGTTATGACGATTTTTATCATGGCTTTAGAAGTCCTAACTAGTACAAAAGGAACTTAGAGACTGAACCAAGTGCAGTGGCACATATCTGTAATTCCAGCTATTTAGGAATCTGAAATGGGACTGCTTTGAGATAAGGAGTTTAAGACCAGTCTTAAACAATGTACTGAGACATCTTAACTAACTAACTAAACACATATATACATACATACTGGATAATAAGCAAAGCAATAATCATTCACAGATGATAATAATCTACAAGGGAAACCCAAAATTATCTATAAAAAATAGTTCTAATTAGTGACTAAATTTAGCTCAGTGGTAGAGTGGTTACCTGGCATGAACAATACTTTAGGTTTAATCCCCAGCACCACAAAAAATAGGTGAATAAAAGACCAATGTATAAAAGGTTAAATTAATTTCTATACACCAGCAATGAAGAACATTTCATCTAAAATGAAAGACAGTACCTATAGATACACAAAACTGCACTAATCAAAACTGTGCCAGGCACAGTGGTGCACACCTGTATCCCAGCTTCTTAACGAAGAAAGTTCACAAATTCAAGGCCAGTCTGGACAACTCAGTGAGGCTCTGTCTCACAAAAAATGGGGGCTGGGGATATAGGTAAGTACCACACACACACACACACACACACACACACACACACACAAAAGATCATGCTACTTGGCATACAATAAACATAAAGATCATCAGTAAAGTAGCAGAAGGGAAGAGGGAAAGGGAACTTGGGCACACTGAGGACTAAAATGGAGTAAATCAAATTCCATGCATGTATGATTTTGTCCAAACGAACTTATTATGTATAATATAATGTTCTAATTAAAAAAAAAAAAGCCAGGCATGATGGCATATGCTTGTTGGAGAGTGCTTGCCTAGCATGCCCAAGGCCCTGGGTTCAATCCCCAGCACCAATAAAAACATAAAAAACTTTTGGGGGCTGGGGAGTGACTCAGTGGTGGAGTGCCCGCCTAGCATGTGCAAAGCTCTGGGTTCAATACAAAAAATTTAAAGAAAATTAAAAATAAAAAATAAAACCTTTGGGCTTCAAAGGACACCATTAAGAAAGTGCAGTCAACCCACAGGAGAAAATTTTTGCAAAACATGTCCCTGAAAAGGTACAAATGCACATTTGAGGTCAGCCTCAGCATCTTGGAGAGACTCTGTCTCAAAATAAACAATAGCGAGGGCTGGGATGTGGAGCTTAGTGATTAAGCACCTCTGAGTTCAATCCCCAGGACCCAAAAGAAAGAAAAAGAACAAAGAAAATGAAAAAAGAATGGGTTTATCAGAGGCTAGGAGGAGGAAGGAAAGAGGTTGTTTAATTGGTATAGAGTTTCACATTTTTTTAAATTTTTAAATTTGTTTTAATTAGTTACACATGATAGTACAATGATCTTGACATATCATACATTTGAATCAGATGGGGTATAATTTCTCATTTTTCTGAGTGTACAGGTTTACAGTTTAAGGCTAGCCTGGACAACTTAGGAAGATCCTGTCTCAAAATAATAAATAAAAAGAGCTAAAGACATAGCTTAGTGGCAAAGTAACCCTGGGTTCAATGCCTAGTACCACCAAAAAATACATGTTTTGTGTACACATACGTATTATATGTTATAGATATTATACGTAATATATGCTGTGAGTTGAAAATTATTATATGTAGGGCTGGGGATGTGGCTCAAGCGGTAGTGCGCTCGCCTGGCATGCGTGCGGCCCGGGTTGGATCCTCAGCACCACATACAAAGATGTTGTGTCTGCCAAAAACTAAAAAATAAATATTAAAATTCTCTCTCTCTCTCCCCCCACTTTTAAAAAAGGAAAACTATTATATGCATATATACACATACATATATAGATGTACATATATATATATCCACACATACACAGCAGCATTATTCAGAATAGCTCAAAATTTCAAACAGGCCAAATGTCCACTTACACCATCTGACTCAGCTGGTGGTTCTTTCTTCCCAGAAGCCTCCTTGGCTTTCAGAGTACCACCCTCCAGGTTTTCCCTCAATACTCATCACCTCCCTAGACTGGGAACATTCAGCTGCTGAACTTTTTACCTTTTCTACACCACTTCCTTGGAGACTTGGCTCATTAATCGCATACCTTTACATAGCATTTCCTGATTCCATGCTTACCTAGCTCTAGTCAGGATCTCTCCCCTGAACTTCACACCTGGGTCTCCTCACTTTCTGGACATCTCCATCTGAATATCAGGTATTTCAAACTTAGTATTATCAGAAATGATCCCTTCATCTTCGTCCTAAACCTGCTTCACCAGTGATTATCCCTCTTAGATAAGTGCAGCTCTATCTTTTCAGTGATGCTCAGGAAAAAAAACCAAAAAACAAAAAAACCTTTCTCTCACAATCCTTATCTCTGCAGTAAGCAAATTCTATGGATTTTATCTAAAAAGCACCAGACAGCTGTTAGAATGCAAGCACTTCTCACCTATCCACAACTGCCTGCTGGCCCAAGCCTCCATCACCTGAACAGCCTCCCGAATGGTCCTGGGCTCTCTGACCTGACTCATGGCTCCTTACTACCCTCTCCTCCACATTCTATTCTTAACATTGCAGTCAGAATGGCCTCTAGAAAATGGAAACCAGCTTACCTCACTCTTTGTTCTAAACTCTCAAGGGCTGTCCACTTAACTGGGAGTATCCGCCAGCACTTACAAAGGATGCACATGACTCACCTCCAGTTCCTCCACTGTTCTTTTTATAGTGGGGACTGAACTCAGGGGTGCTTCACCACTAATCTAGATCCCTAGTATTTTTTATTTTGAGACAGAGTCTCATTAAGTTGCTTAGGGCCTGGCTAAATTGCTAAGGCTGGGCTCAAACTCGGGATCCTCCTGCCTCAGCCTCCAGAATTGCTGGGATTACAGGTGTGCACCACCACATTTGGATACTCCACAGTTCTTAGTGCCCTCCCAACTCACTCAGCCTCAGCTTGGCCTTCTTGTGGACTTAATCCCCAGGACCACCAGAGTGTCTGGCACATAGCTAGTGCTCACTGATTAAATACTAAATAATGAATGAATTAGAAAAAAAATTTAGGGGATGGGGTTGTGGCTCAGCGGTAGAATGCTCGCCTGGCACGTGCAGGACCCTGGGATCGATCCTCATCACCACATAAAAATAAATAAGTGAAATAAAGGGCTGGGGATATGGCTCAAGTGGTAGCGCACTAGCCTGGCAAGAGTGCAGCCCAGGTTCAATCCTCAGAACCAAAAAAAAAAAAAAAAAAAGTGAAATAAAGGTATTGTGTCCAACTACAACTAAAAAATAAATATTTTTTAAAAAATTTTTAAGCTCACAATGATGCCTGCTACATAGCAATGACTCAAGAGTTAGCTATTCAAAGGGTTGATAGGCTTTGTAGAGAACTAATACACACAAATTTTGTGCAAATTCATAGAAAGAGAGACCTACTTGCTAATACTTCTTTGTTGGCAGCACTCCCCTCTACTTCAGATGGTTCTGTAGCAACAGTGTCTTGACTGGGCTCCTTAACTCTCTCATCAGTGAGCAGGCTGACAGCCTGAGTGATGTCACCATTACTGGCCTAAGGGGGGAAAAACAAAAAACATTTCAAAAGCAAAGAATCAAAGTGAAAGGTAAGTAGAAAGATAGTTTTGGGGTTATACCTCCCTACTACCGTGGTGACAATGAGTAAGTCTAGGTGTAACTCTAGATATAAGGTAGACAAAGCAAGTATGAGCCAGGTGTGGTGGTGCAAATGTGTAAGAGGCTGAGGCAGGAGGATCACAAGTTCAAGACCACCCTGGGCATTTTAGTGAGATCTGTCTCAAAAAGAATGAGGAATGTAGCTAAGTAGTAAAGTGTTTGTTTAGCATGTACGATGCTCTGGGCTAAATCCTCAGTGACAACAAAAAAAGAAAAGAAGAGAAAAAGTATGGTGGAGTACAATGAGTCTAATTTGCTTGAAGGTATAATCAACACCCAGTTACAGGAGTTAAGTTTCTATGCTCTGATTCCCACAACATGCAAACAAATGCTAAATCTTGCTGTATATTTGTCATTGTTTCAAATCTTATTATTCCTGATTTCACAAAATAGTTCAAGTTCAATGTGTCAAATGAGAGCCGACAAGTAACACAGATTCTGAAGCGTCAGCCTCTAAAATAATAAGCAGTTACCATATTTTATAATAGATATAATATTGGTTTTTGAGATAGAAGGATTGAAAGTTTAAGGCCAGCCTCAGCAACTTAGGCCCTAAGCAACTTAACAAAACCCTGTTGCAAAATAAAAAAATAAAAAGCATTGGGTATATGGCTCAGTGGTAATCCTAGGTTCAATGTCCAGTACACCCCCAGATATATATATATATATATATGCAAATTATTTATAGCACACACTTATACATATAGGTTTGGAATTTTCCATTAGAAAAAATTTCTGGGCTGGGGTTGTAGCTCAGTGGTAGAGCGCTTGCCTCACATGCATGAGACCCCAGGTTCGATCCTTAGCACCACATAAATAAAAATAAAGATAACATGTCCATCTATAAATAAAAACAATTTAAAAAAAAGAAAAAATTTCTAAGGGCTGGAAAAACATCTACCTTGTGGCAAAACATCTACCTTGCATTCACAAAGCCCTGGGTTTGACCCCCAGTTTCAAAAAACAAAAAAAAGATTAAAAAAAAGAAAAGAAAAAATGTCTAAAACTTACCACAGTATAGTGAAAAAACTGAACGTCACGTACCCATCACTTTGCTTCAACAATTATCAAGTCATGATCAATCTTGATTTATCTATACTGCCTACTCCTTCCCAGGCATTCTGAAGCAAAGTCTAAGCATTTTGTCATTTCACTGGTCAACATTTTAGATTGCATCTTTTTAAAAATACAGGCCACAAAGTCTAAGAGTAATGATATTGTCAGGTGCTTTGGCGCAGGCCTATAATCAGTTTGTAATTCCCTGCAACTCCAGAGGATGAGACAGGGGGATTGCAAGTACAAACCCAGCCTTGGCAAATTAGCAAGGCTCTAAGCAATTCAGCGAAACACTGTCTCAAAATAAAAAAATACAAAGGGCTAGGGATTTGGCTCAGTGGTTAAGTGCCCTGGGTTTAATCCCCAGTATCAGAGGGGATGGAGGTGGGGGGTTTTCCTTGTCTCAAATATTATTTGGTTTGCCGGTTTCAATCAGGACCTATATAAGGTTTGTACAATTAACTGGTTGATATGACTCTTAAATCTCTTTGACTTTGTAGGGTTTCTCCAAAAGTGTCCCCCATCCCTTTACAATTAACATACTGAAGAAACTGGACCATTTACCTGTTCAATTTCTGTCCCTTATATGTATTTTTATTTTGGCATAAAGATAGCTTGAACTGACACAAGTATTACACAGACAATTATTTTAAAGGCTGTTGGCTAAAAGGGGTCTACAAACCAACCTTTAGAGCTTCATGAAGAAAGGAAGGATCTTGAATGCCTGTGATTTCTCTCAGTTGATTTAACAGCATTTGGCAGCTCTATATTTGAGATGGGGGGAAAAAAGACATGTCAATCAGAAAATAAAACTGGGCACATCTTGGATAGATAGGCCTGAGACATGCATTTTTCACTCTGGAGAACTGACAAGATCCATCTAACAAGAAACTGACTGCCAGATATATCCTGAAATGCCAAATCTATTAATTTTTTAAAAGCCTAATCAAGGCAAATGCCATGGGCACTTATAAAATTTGAAGAAAAAAAAAGTAAAACTACCAGTAATAATAAATAAAATAAATTAAATAAATAAAAATAAAAATAAAATAAATAAATAAAACATTTAAAAATGTAGTAGTTTAGCTGAATGGATGCTTAGGTTTTGCTTTCTGTAAAGTGTGCATAAATAGGTCATACAAGGAGTCCAGGGAATTCGAATGGATGTGAGGAGCAGCTATTTTAAGCTTGACTGCACATGCCACTTGTGTGTGTCATTTTTCACTGACAATGTTTCCAATCATATAACTTACAAATGATTAGTACCACCAACATCATATTTAAAACTTCAGAGCTGATTAAACAGAAGTATAGCTGAAGTGAGAGTTTTCTAAATGATGAAATATTTATTCCAAAAGAATAAACTATGGTTAAGCTCAACAGCTTTTCTTTTAAAAAAGAAAAACATGACAAAGAAAAGAAAAAATGACCTATGAAATGTGTTCTCTTCTGATATGCATCATGGAAAACCTAACTAGGGGGCTGGGGTTGTGGCTTTAGTGGTAGAGCGATTGCCCGGCATGTGTGAGGCACTGGGTTCGATCCTCAGCACCATATAAAATTAAATAAATAAAATAAAGGTATGTGTCTATGTACAACCCAAATAAAAAATTTAGAAAAACCTAACTGGTTAACTTTCAGCTACAAGATCCGTTTTTAACTCCTTTTTAGCCTTACAGTCTTTCAAACTATCGATTTATATTGTTTCTCACAGTCAAAACTTAACACAAAATACTTATTTACAAGTATAGCTTGATTTAAATAACTTGAGACATAATGATCTTTTACATGAATATTAAAAACAATCAAGTTCAAAATTAATTCAGTGAGAAGAAATCTAATTTATACCACGACTAAGGTAATACCAGAATAAAGTTCTGACTCAAAACTCTATGCTTCAACATTATATTAACTTCAATTAGTAATAGAACTCAAAGAGAGTCTATGTTTACTGCCAGCTGTAACAGAAACAGTATCCTGCCTTCTTCAACAGCTGAGGGCTCAACAATGCAACACTTAAGTATCACACAACTAGAAATAACTAACTGAAACATCCCTCCACAGTCCTTGAAAAAGCATCAACGGCCTTTCTGTTCTAGTCATAGGCCACAGTCAGAGGCTAGAAATGGAACCCTATCCTGCTATGGTCAGCAGTTTTTAAGGCCATGGGTCTTGTTAAAGCCAGTCATTGTACACAAGGGAGGGTGATTATCAGACTAAAAGGTGTTACTTAGCCTTGACAGAAGTTGAAAACCACCATGTGATTTTCACAACAATAAGGTATTAAAACTTTTTTCCAAACTAATTCTAATTTCATTTGATTTTACTGTGTAAAAGTATGTGAATCTAGGTATTCCAATCAAATGCAAATTTATAAAAAACCAAAATCAACATACCCTCAAAAGGGTTTGGGGACATAAGTAGCATATTAATACCAAATTGACTAAGAAGGTAACAATGAAATAGATAATCACATTTTCATTTGAAATTCTTGATTTACAGAAAATAATCCCAGTAAAAACTAATATATAAACTGGGCATGGTGGCATGTGCCTGTAATCCTAGCTACCTGGGGGGCTGAAGCAGGAGGATCACAATTTAGAGGCCAGTTTCAACAACTTAGTAAGACACAGTCTCAAAATAAAAAATATAAAGGGCTGAAGATGTAGATCAGTGGTAGAGTACCCCTGGGTTCAATACCCAGTATAAAAAAAAAAAAAAGATATAACATATGCTGCTTACTTCTAGACAGGTGCCATTCTAAACACTTTGCATGCATGTATTAAATTTAGAAACAAATTCCTTTATTCACTTACTTTTATGGGTTGCTGAGGATCAACCCAGTGCCTCACACAATTAGGCAAGCACTCTACTACTGAGCTACAACTACAGCCACGTATTAACTCATGTAACCATTTAGCTCTTATAACAAATCTGTGAGATGTGAATTATGACCATTTGACAGAGAACTGAGGCACACAGAGTAGGTCAAGTAACTTACACAGGATATTGCTAGCTAAGAATTAGGCTGGGTTTTTTTTTGTTGTTGTTTGTTTGCTTGTTTGGTTTGGGACTGGGGATTGAACTCAGGGATACCCGACCACTGAGCCACATCCCCAGCCCTATTTTGTGTTTTATTTACAGACAGGGTCTCACTGAGTTGCTTAGTGTGCCTCGATTTTTGCTGAGCCTGGCTTTGAACTCATGATCCTCCTGTCTCAGCCTCCCAAACTTCTTGGATTACAGGCATGTACCATAGTGCCTGGCTCAGGCTGGGATTTGAACCCAGGCTGCCTGACTCCATATCCGGCACTTACACCATATCATGCTGTGCTTCCAACAGCACCAATGGCTAGGAACCAATCCTTCAACTAGGGTCTTGGAGGACATTCAAGATCCAAATTACACCAGGTCTTATAATGTTGCTCCTATTATCTCTAGTAACACCTCTTCCATTGGTGAATTATAGAAGACAACCTACAGTCAAGGGTTTACTTCATCTTAGTTCCTTCACACAGTCCTTTCAAAAACTCTGGCCCACACTATTCTTTCTCTTTTCTAAGCCCCCATATTGAGGAAACAATGAGCCTGTAAATGAATGGGGCTTTTAGTTCAATTGTTTTACATATGAAGTTCTTTTCTCTAGTAAAGCATACAACATACAAGCATACAACATAACTGCCCAATTTGAATTTATCCTTAAGATAGTGCTGATAATGACTGCAACTAGAATTTACTGAAACCCAGGTGCCTTATATAATGTATAATCCTTATAACAATCCTAAAAGTCAGGCAATATGTAAATTAAGATTTATAAAACCTATTTATGGGCTAGGTGCAATAGCACATGCCTATAATCCCAGCAATTGGAGAGACTGAGACAGAAGAATGGTAAATGAGGCCAGTCTTTAGAATTTAGTAAGATCCTGTCTCAAAATAAAAAATAAAAAGGGCTGGGGGTGGAGGTATAGCTCAGTGGTAAGAGCATTCCTGGATTCCACCCCCAGTACATGGGGGGAAAAAACTATCATCAGCTATTTTGAGTTAAAATATAAATCAAAGATGGCCATTAACCAAGTGCAGGCCCATCTGTAATCCAAGTGGCTTGACAGGCTGAGTCAGGAGAATTTTGAGTTTAAAGTTAGCCTTAGCAATGATGAGGCACCAAGCAACTCAATGAGACCCTGTGTCTAAATAAAATACAAAATAGGGCTGGGGGTATGGCTCAGTGGTTGACTGCCCCTGAGTGCAATCCTTGCAAAAACCCCACACCTCGCAAAAAAAAAAAAAAAAAAAAAAAAAAAAAATATACAAAACCCCACACCTCGAAAAAAAAAAAAAAAAAAAAAAAAGACAGATATTAAGAGTGTAAATTTAAAAAAAGTGTGAATCATAGATTTCACAAGGCTTATTCTATGCTATTGATACACATACCCAACTGCTTGATTGCACTGACTTGATTCCATCCTGTAAATATTTAACTAAAATTCTCAGCAAGTACCTACCTTCAAAATCCTAATAAGACTATTAAATGCTGACTTTATAGTAACAGACAAACTAAATTCATCAGGATTCTACTGTACTAAAAGTTCTATTTTTCTGGAACTTTAAAGAAAGCAGATATAAATGTTACCTTCCCTCTAACTACACTGCTATATATAAAGTACACACCCAACAGGAGACAAGACAAAGCCTGTGCTCCTGTCACAATGAAGCCAAACGTTAGCAAGAACCAACAGGTCTGCATTTCCTTGACTAAGTTCACACTGTTTTCACAAACAAGTACTCTTTTTTTCCTGCCCAGAGGCAGGAAAAATAGGAGAGTGCACACACACACCCTTCTCAACTTTCAGACCTCAACTACTCAATGGCTTTAGGGCAATTCAGTCTACAGTTCATAACCGAGAGATTTTCTTAAAAGCAATAACCCACTTCGCAATAAGCAACAAACAGGATTTTATTAATAGAAAAAAAATTAAGCTATCAAGTTTCTGTCACAAACAATTGGTCTAATCCTACTGCAACTAAGTTAAAACCCTGATCAAATAAAGAAACACTACTAATTACTAACATAGAGTCATTTTCTAAATTATTTCAAACAGAGATGCTACTTCATTATTCTGATAAACACATTTTCTGATTTTAATTGTGTAGTCTTACAAAGACTTCTAAATTTTATGTATGTTCCTTTACACAAAAGAACAACGAAGGTGTACCTAATAAAATTCCCTCCAAAGTTAACCAATTGGTTTTCTAATTTTAAAATAAAACTTCAGTACCCAATGCAAGAAAACAAAAAACAAACAAAACCCTAAATAGGAGTCAAAGAAAAAAAATAAAATGAAGCAAAAATAAAATAGTGTTGTCTTAACAACAGTTTCTTAACAATACATGCTAAGAATGCTGTTAACCTTTCTGACTTTGACAAAAAATGCCACAAAGCCCTGGCATTTTTTTCAGTTTTTCTCCCAGCAACAACCCTATGTTGTGCAATTTATTCACTGGGAAGAACCTAATGTAGTCATAACAACATGACTTGTAAAAATTACAAATAGCAGCTTTGTGTGGATGATAAAATTCCCTGACCTGGACTATTTAATAATTTACTTGACTGATAAAAATACCAGTTTCAGTTCATCAACTGGCTTAAAAATTTCAAAGGCATTTAAATAATTTTAGCATTTAGCTGCTCTTATATGATGTAGGTTGGTTTAAACTAAAACCTTAAAAAATGAGAATAATAAATCATTATTTACTTGTAAAA